TAAGCAAGGCGCACCCGCAGGCCGCCCTTGTTCCCAGGGCCGCCGGGGTTCAGAGAAACCGGAATGCCCCTGAGCACGTGCAGAGCGCTCCCTTGCACCAGCCGGCCGCCGCCCCCGCCGCCCCTCCTGCAGCCCCAGAAGAGTTGAGGGCCTGCATTCTGCTGGACCGGCAGGGAGGCCTCCCTCCCCCCCTCCAGGGACAGAGAGGCTCCCCCGTGGGGGAGGGGCTGCCCTCCTTCCCCACCAGATGCTTTGCAACACACACACACACCCCCGCCTCCTCGCCCCCCCCCCAATTATCCGCTCGGGCGGATGAGCAGCGGAAGGGCTGAAAAAGCATGTCGCTCCAGCTCTGGTCAGCTGCGGGGAAAACAGGATTATTTATTCCTACTTTGCTCACTAATTTCGCACTCCAAGCAAAACAATGGCATGCAGCCGCTATTTATGACATCCCGTCTTTCTCCCTGGAGGCACCCAAGGCGGCTGCACAGCCAGAAGAGTCATAAAGGAAGCACGCTCCGGAAAGACAAACCCCAACGGGGAACACACCAGAAAGGGGAACACCCCCCCCATTGGAAGCCTTTTCCGGACACCCACTCAAGGGCTGCCTGCACTAAACCACCCTTGGCAGGGAGTGGGGGGGGTCCTCCCCTCCCCCTGGAAGGAACCCTGAAAGACAGCCTCGGAGGCCCCCGCCTCACTGTCCCGCCCAGTCTGCCTCAGAAGGGCTTCCTGGAAATGCTCTGTGCCTGTCGATTCGGGGTACATTGCCTCGCTGGGAGCCCCTGACTGGGAATCCCCCAGCCCTGTCAGATGTTTTGCATGGGGGCGAGAGGTAGGTTGTTCCTCACCTCTGGAACAAGCTACCTCCGGAGATTTGCATGGCCCCCTCGCTGGGTATCTTTAAAAATCTAAAAACGTGGATGCTTCGGCAGGCCTTCCCTCCAGTTAATCCCTGATGTTTTATTTTCCTTTCTTCTCTTATTGTTTCCCTTCCATCTTGTCGAATCTGTTTATTATGTAATAAATATTTTTGTATTTACAGTGGTGCCCCGCATAGCGAGGTTAATCCGTTCCGGATTAACCTTCGCTATGGGGAAACATCGCTATACGGAACAGAAAAGCCCACTGGAACAGAAAAGCACAAATGGGCACAAAACTCACCGTTCTGTGGGCGCGAAAATGCTGCGCGCGGCCATTTCGGGTGTCCGGCGGCCATTTTGGAACCGCCGAACAGCTGATTGAAAAAAAATCGCTAAGCGAAAATTGGTAAGCGAAACACTTACTGATTATCGCTAAGCGATTTTCTCCCATTGGAAACGTCGGTATGCCATCACATTAGCGATAAAAAAATTGGATCGCTATGCGAATTCATCGTTATACGGTGCGCTTGTTAAGCGAGGCACCACTGTATCTGTATATTTTACGTTGTAAGCCGCCTAGAGTGGTTGCAATTGACCAGATATGCGGGATATAAGTTTCCTACCTTCTGGGCCCCACTGGGCTCAGCTCCCCTTTGAAGAACTGGAGCCCTGCCTGAATTCGGCCTGCCTCCAGACGTTCCCCCACCCGCAAAGGAAGCTGCCCCCGGATTTGGCCCTTTGAGCCATGTTCCAGTGCTCCCAAACCCCAAATTTCTCTGCTCCCTTGCCTCACGTCTGCTAAGCCCCCTCCGTGCTTTGGCCCCCTTTCTGTTTTTCACTCAATGGGTGGGCTGTGGGGGTCACTCACCGGATGTGGGGCTCCCTTGGGCACTTCTCTCCCCCGGTAGGCAGGGACCTGTGGCAGACGGTGCTTCTCCTTGCTCAGTTCTGCACATTGGCTCCGGTCTGGAAGGCAGTGGCTCGGCGCACATCACAGGCAGGAAGGGTGGTGTCTGCCCCCCCCGCAGCAG